AATAAGGAAGCAATATCTTTATCAGGAGTGGAAATGGTGAGGTTCCACCTTAAGGGAGCAACAGGCTCACAGCAGTACATTTCCTCTATCTTGGCCTTTCCTAGCTGGGAGCCAAGGATAAAGTTTCAGGGATCTCTGAGCAGCAACAACCCACACCTTTCAGTAGTCGAAGAAATTTGCATACTGGCTTTTCTAGAACACTTTTTATTTCAAGCAGAGAATGAAGACCAGTAAAGAAACAAACAAACAAAAAAAGATATAGAATTAGAATAAAAGAAATGCTGAGCTCCAGGTCGCAGGATAAAATTATAAAGTTTAACAAGGAACTAGAGGCAATGATAACTTGTTAGAAGATTATTTGGTGAGATTTTACTTTTATTTTATATTCTTGCCTCACTAAATTAAGAATATCCTCAATCCAAAGGATGATTGGCTCTCTCATATTCTGGAATGCCAATAGCTCTAGGTGAAAATTGAAATTAATTGTGAGAATTAAATGAATCTATTACCCCTGGATATCTGATTGCACCAAAATTATCTATTTAAAGTAAAATAAAGGAAGAAGCTTTTTGATTCTAGGGAACAATAAAGCAAATATTTGCTAATCAGTAATGTTAGTCCTAAGTATGCACCTAAACAATAACAACATCTTTCATTTCTGGCTTTATGCTAAGGTTTCAAAATTCAGTGATAGTGATTTGCCTTGGATTCAAACTAACCTCATGGTATTGATCGTAACAGTAATTCAATTATCATTGAAACAGACCTTAGCCAGAAAATGGCCATCTTTGGGGTAAACTAAGACCAAGCAGAAAATTTCAGTTAGCCATTAAATTAGATACTGATAATCATCAATTCCTTGAAGTTATCAGAGGAAGTGAGAAACTGTATTTCTGAAACTACCTGGAAATGATATCATGCTCTAATAGAATCCTTCTCAAAATCTTATTTCTGTTTATCTCCCATTACACTCTCTTATGTTGATTTACTTTAGATGTCACACACCTACAATTAAGAACTGAAACTAAGTTTTCTTACCTCTCTAATCAACTGCAAACAGAGAAAATCCAAGAGAAGGGCAAAGCACCCTAGCTGACTGTTAACTCACCTTCTTGCTTAAAGGAAAATCGCATCCACAATAGTTAGAGTACGAGTCAGATATTTTTATGTTCCAGTGATGCTTGATTGAGGATATTGTCTTAGAGCTCTCCTAGGAGATAAGAACTCCAATCCCCAAATAACATCAAGGGCTTGAAGCTGACCAGTCCATTAACTGCAGACTCCATGACACCAAAGCACCCAGTTCATCATGGGACACTGACATCTGACTTAGAACCTCTGCTGAACGCGTGACCAGCCTCCCCCTTTGCCTAAAGGTCAAAACCCTTACTCACCTTCTTGCCTCTTCCCTTTTTTAAACCTCAGAACATGCATCAGCAAGGAG